CGTGACGGGTAAATCTCCGCGCGCCGCCCGTGCGTGCTGGTCCCGCGCCGGTCCTGCCTATGGCCAATCCCAGGGGTGGGTCGCTGCACGACGAAACACGATTGGATGCCGGCGGCGTGGGAGGCGGGAGCTGACGGGAGGGGGCGGTCTCTGCGTGCCCATTGGCCTTTTCTAGGCGAGCGCTGGCGGTCTCGGGGCTCGGTCCTCCGAGACCGTGTTTGGCAGTTTCGCGTGGAGGGCGGTTTGTGTTCCGCGGCTGTGGCCGGAAGGCTCCAGAACGTCCCCAGGGCCTCTTGAGTCATAACTTTGTCATGTAAAGTGGGACTCTATCCAGACTGGAGGCGCTGGGAGCGGCCCGCGTTGAAGCGGCCTTAGAGACCATCAGCAGTTTCCGTTAGGGCCCGCGGCGCCTGCTGTGCGCGCCCGGCCCAGACGTCCAGAAGAGGGGTCCGGGCCTTGTGCGGGCCCCCTGGCTGCCAGCCCGAACTGGGAAGGCCTCTCGCGTGCCGTTCCAAGTTAGCAGCATCTATTCGATGCCCAGCCTCAAAAATCAAATTTATGTTCTTAGGCAGTCAGTAATTGCTTGCCCGTGCGCTGTACAGATGAACTCTCCATTGTCTGAGGTAGCTTGGTGTAAGGGAAAAAAATCTGGACAAAGGGGTAAGTAGGTCTGAGCTTAGGCTCAGTTTGTGAACACTAGAGTACAGGAGTGATAAAAATACGGGGAGTGTTTAAACGATTACCCCAAAAGGTACCCCGTCATTGTCACTTTCTGAAGCAGGTCGAAAGGCCTTGTCTCGACTGCCTGGGTGCCCTCTGGATTCACCACGTTAGTCTTCCGTGGTCATTTTGATTTTGGGGAAGAGCCAGAAGTTGCAAGGGGCCAGACGCAGTGAACAAGGTGAATGGAAACACGATTATGTTTTCACAAGCCTGTTCGATGGCCCTGGGCAGCAGTGTTCACAGGGTTTTTAATCACATCTCATAAAGACACGCATGAAAGAGGACTTACAGAAGTGCTTCCGAAAGTGGCAAAAATGATGGGCTAAGTGCATGTAAAACGAGAATGAGTCTTTTGAGGGTGATTAATGGCAGTGTGTTTTTTACTATAATGAATTTTAAAAATTTAAACTTTCACAGTATGCTTGGATCACCCCTTGTTCAGTTACACTGGTGCTATGTCATTTGGAGTAAATCCTTAATATGTCAGTGTCAATATTACCATTTCCTCATTGGAATATCTTTTTGTCTCAAGAGTGGCTGAATTAAACTTTTGTTTTACCAAGAGTCAAAATAATGAAAATAAGATTGAAAATGAATCGTAATTAATCATAATATACAAAATTCACGGGATTGGTTTACTTCTGGGTATATGTAGAATAAAACATTAAAAAAATAAATTGAGGGGCTGGGGATTTAACTCAGTGGCACCACACCTGCCTCAAGCTCAAGGTCTTGCATTTGATCCCTGGTACCCCCCCCAACAAAAAAGAATAAAATGAATATTTATTGAATATTGCTTTTATGTTTAGCACCATCCTGTTTGCTTTAATAAAATCAGCTATATGGAGAAGATGAACTAATATTTGATGGGCTCTCATATATGGCAAGGGCTTTATGTACATTATGTAATGCTTACAATAACCAAGTGAAGAGATTTCCAAGCATCTGGTGCAGATTGCTGCAAAATTTATCTGAGCAATCATACAAACTACATGGAATCAGCAGTGCAACCAGACTTACCCATTAAAGATTATTTTCCAGAATTGGAAGAGTGAAGCCAAAGGTAAACTGCAATAGAAGCTTCTGTCTACATTCTTATCCGGATGTGTTGATTTTCTTCAAGTTTGGAATGAGAGCATTAGGTAAATCACTTCACATTTCCTAGCCCTAGGTCTTCCTGCAAAAAATATGGGTGAAGTTACCTGCTATGCTCAAATCACAGGGTGAATATCAAATTGCTTCTCCCTGCAGTCTAACAATCTTACAGATCACTTCCAGAAATCTGAAAAGGTCACTACCTGACTTGAAACCATTCAGTGGCTTCCTGTAATTTTCAGAATAAGTCCAGATGGCATAAGGAAACCTTCAGGGATCTGAGGCCACCTGCCATTCCAGTCATTGTCTGTTCTGCTCCACAACTGAGCCTTTGCCACAGTTGATTCCTGGGTTAATTTACTGGTCCCAGTTTTTATTCCTTCATGCATTTCTACCTGTATTTCCTCTGCCTGGAGAGCCTGTCCTCTTCATCTGCCGTGTTCATCCTTCACCTCAATATCATGTACAAGTCTGTACAGAATTCACATCTTCAGCGAGACCTTTCTTTGTGACCTTTATTATAGCACCTTACTATATTATTATTATTTATTTGTTTCTTTTACATTGGACAATGAAAACTTTCATGTCGAGACATATTTATGTTCATTCATCTACAATGACTATTAGGAATTTGGTATATACTAAACTCTCAAAAATACTTAATAAGTAGATGAGTACACAAACCAGTAAGTTAACCACCCATTTAATCTTCCATGACCCCCTAATATGGATTAGCTCTTCCTCATGTGTGGTCTCACAGCTTGTTGAACTAGACTTTCATATTATTTTTGGCTCCATTTTTTTTTTTTTCTGGTACCAGGGATCAAACTTAGGACCTTACATAGGCTGTCACAGTGCCACTGAGCTAAATCCCAGGCCCTTTGACTTCCATATTCACACAGTGCAATTGCTCATTTACCGTGCAGAAATCATTAGTCTGGCAGACTGCTAGTCCTATTTACCCTCCTTAGAACTAAATACAGTGCTAATAACAAAGGAACTGCTTAATAAATATTTGTTGAATAAATAACTTCAGCATTTTTAAATCCTTGGAATACAATGGATTCTACCTCATAATTAAGAAGGCTTTTTCAACTGACTAGGTCTCAGTCAGTTTAAACCTTTTTGTTTACAAAAGACAAGCTTGAAGCAAAGACCGCTTAAAGCATAGCTCAACTAAGGAGCATATATCAGAGTAGCTATTAGTACTGTGCAAATACCAGAACACTGGAAATGCCAGATATTAATGGAATGTCCTCAGGGCTCAGATTTGGGATCATTTATGGCTTCAAAACAGAAGGCAGAAGCAAAATGCTTATGGACACTTGGGTGGGCATTTCAGGAAGTGGACCACTGGGTAGAAGACTGAGGAAGTTAATTTTTAAAACTTGGAAATGAAAGAAGAATCTCCCTTTTTCTAAAGCTAAAACTCATACAGCATGCACTGGTTAGAGGAGTTTATGTAGGAATGCTTTAATACAACTTGTACCAGGCTTGGGCTGGAACTTCGCTGTGCTAAACTTCCATTCTGGGCTGAATTTGCTAGGATAGAATGGAATCCAACTTGTTACCCAATCAGGGGTATGAATTGGTCCAGTTTGTGCAGGATTTTTCTTATTTTCATACTTAAAGTCTTGTCCCCTAGTATTCCCTCAGTCCCAGGCAAACCAGGATAACTACTTGCTGCAGTGCTCGCCTCTTCCAGTTATCAAATTAAGCAACATTTTGTATGGCAACTCCTGCAAAGGCAGCCCAGCAGCCAGCTGCTAAGCAGAAAGATGCTGAGAAGAAAGAAAACTCAAAGTTAGTTAAAAGTCCTGAGAGATTAAGAGACAGCAAGTTAGTGAAATAGCCTACAGTGAATGGCTTTTTGGTCATCCCCACTAGAGTAGACTTTTAGTAGGGCTCTAATTTCCCTTTCCTTGGGACCACTCTTGTTCCAAGCGAAGGTAGTAGTAAAGATAGAAGGTGCTTGTGATTCATTTTTCATAATATTGGGGTCTAAGTGATCTTATTCTGTTCAAATCTTTTGACGAGATCTTTATACTCCTGCAAAGATTAAATGAAGTAATTTTTGTGGCTTGAGTACATTAGTCTACTCCCACCTTCAAAATTGCATTAAACTGGAAAGTTGGCTTCCAAAAAGTGGTAGCCACTGTCCCAGATATGTGTCATGATCTGTGAGGTGGCAATGACTGGAGTACTTCTAACTTGTTAAAACTTATGCTGCTCTGAGCAGCATCTGGGTGCTGGCTGTGTAGGAGAGACAGACATCTTTGCTCAACTGTGTACTTACAGTGCCCTGTGGTGCAGCTGCAATCAAATGAAGCCACAGGCTGCTGTCTCTTTGAAAATGTGGCCTGGGACATAAGGCAATGGTATACAGGCTTTCTGCATCAAAGTTTTTCCGAATCCAAGGCTTGCTACACATGAAAGAATTGCTAATTAATGGAAGAACTCTTGATTTTTTTATAGCCTTTATATAGTGATTGTTATAATCGCTGTAATTTACATTAAAATACCACTACTCAAATAGTAACACAGTGTGATAGTTAATTGTCATCAACACCCAAGGTGTTGAAATACTCAATTACGAATGCATGAACACTGCACAGTTAGTTAGCATTTGAAAGACTTATTGCATGCTAATCTGAAGGCTTTATTTTAATTAAATAAGTGCCAAAAGTTTTGTTGACTCGGATAAGGGAAGGAATTTGGGAATGAACTTTTATAAGTTTTTTGGAGAAATGAAGTTCAGGAAGTACGCACTGGCTAAAAAGTGCATACTCTTGACTGACTTGGTACTCTAGATAACTACAGTTGACAATAGCTTATACAATCCAGAAGAAAAAAGTCTGGTGTTCTGTTGTTGAAGCCATAGTTTCAAATGATCAACAAAAAAGGACCAGGAAGATTAATAAATCATTATTTATTTACTTCACAGGATTCTCTATTTCAGCAGTCACTAGTTAGGTTGTTATCAAAACTGTCACATAATCTGTGTTTTATTGATGATATTGATCAAAATATTAAAAAAGTAGTTGTGGTCAAGCACAGTTATAAAAAACCAAATATGAATATTTCTAAAATGTTATTAAAACATTAAACATTGAAAAATTAAAGTTATGTTCATATTTTTAACTTATAAGGTAATCATTGGGTCATAAATCCAAATTTGAATTTCAAAATTTGTCATAATCATGCACATAAATTTATTTAAACAAAATGTTTTGAAAATATAATCAAATTGTGTTTAATGCTTAGCAAAATAAACTCTTTCCTTATTCTGCAACAGCTTCTGTCTCTGACGTGGAAACCTGTGTTTCAGAGCAAGCATAAGTTTTCCTGGAGCCCATAGAACATTTTATTGGAGTGGTTTAGAGGGTCATAGAATGCCAACTCTTGATTTCTAGATCCCAAGTGATAGAGACCTGGTTCTAGAGTATGAAGCAATACTGCTAGATTTTGCAAACTCACTCTGTCTCTGAGGTTGGCTGGGACCTGTTGATGGGATACTACCACTCCCTCCCTCTGTGAGTGCACGTCCTTAGGCTTGGAGAGCAGAGTGAATGGCATCTGTGTCTTACTGCTCAGACAGCTGTGCATGTGCAGCAGGTTCCAACTGAGTCTCCTTGGTGAGGTTTTGGGAAGGGAACCACCCAATTTTCACCTACAATAATCCAATCATTATAAGTAAGCAGATTGGTTTAGATTAGTTCTCAAGAGCAAAATTTTGGCAACATGTTCTACATCAATGCAACAAAATAGATCCTTACATTGAACTACAAGTTGAGTTAGGTGGGAAACCAAACTTCAGTGCCAGGTTGCAGGTTTATTGAAGGTGACTTTGACAACGTTAGTGGTTAGGATAAATTCCAAGATGCATTACTGGCTACTCATGGCTGATGAAGACCCTCAGCATTACTGCACTGTATGCTTACTTTTTATACTGGCAAAACATATATAAAAATTTTGCTATGTTAACTGTCCGCGAGAGTAGTTTGCCAGTGTTTTAGGACCTTCACATTGTTGTACAGCCAGTCTCCAAAACTCCTTTCACTTTGCAAGTCTGAAACTCTAACTAACTACCATCTGCCCGCAGATGCAGTGCCTGGCAACCACCATGTTACCTTTCACCTTTATGGATTTGACAACTGCAAATCCCTCCTAGCATGGGCCACGCAGCGCTGCTCTCTCTGCTCCTCTCTCTCTATTCTGGTAAATAGCTCATTCACCAGCCATGATGCCCTCAAGGTCTCTCAACAGTGTAGGATGAATCACGATTCCTTCCTTTGTAAGGTGGAATAACAAATATACCACATTTCGTTTATTCATTCACTGTCAAGGAGCATGATTTGCCTTCACATTTTGGCTCTTGTGAATAATGTTGCTAAGAACTTTGGCACATATACCTAATTTGATATGTTCGTTTTTCTCTCTCGACAACTTGTGGTAGGATTTCTCTCTGGTCAACTGGCATAGCTATCATTTACTCCTCTCGAGATTTGTGGTATTCCATGGTGTGCAGGCAGCACAGTATATTCAGCCGTTCTGCTACTGATGAGTGTCTGCTTTGTTTCAAAGCTTTTACTTATTTTTTTTTTTTTTTTGT